AAAAAACAAAGTAGTGTTATTTCAATACACTTTGCAGCAGTTCACAACCAAAGTCAAAAACAGATTGTTGATGTTCAGGATTACAACACACTTAAGTGGCATTACTAGCAGTGGTGTAACAATGGATAGTTCATAACTGTGAACTGTAAATCATGGTTGCCAGCAATAGTGGTCAAGAAAAAAAGACAGAACAGTGTTAGCAACTAAGGAATGGAGATAATCTATGCCAGATCCATTTAATACTAAAAACCATACTGATGTTAGTCCCTGTTTGGGGGACCTTTGTATGAGTTTTGTACTTTCCTTCAATCTTCTGCACCCATCACCTAAAAAGAAACATTTTGTATTCCAGGGAAGGGTTTCCTGGGATGTAGGACTTTCAGTGCTAAAACTGAAACAGTTCCGGGTAGGCTACCCTACCTGCCCTAATGGTGACAGTATTTTTTGTTCCCACAGATTAAGGATTGACTCATAGAGACTGGGAGAAAGATCCATGAGTTTCATGTTCTTCCTACAATACTGCTATTCCCCTCCTTCAGGTTTCTGCTGTAGTGGGCATTTTCTTAGGACTTTCTTATCCTTTTTTGTGTGTGTCTGGTGGGATTTCTGGCAACAGAATCTGAAAGAAGGTGTAGATTCCCCCAATTTATGCATACCCTGGTAGCTTCATACCCTGCCTGAAAATCTCCCACTCTGCCTTTAGCTATTCACCTACTGTTTAGCTATACCTTTCTTATGGTGTCCAGTTGCATCTGTCCTAAGTAAGCAAGTACTAATATTCTATCTGTCCGTGCAGGTGCCTGCCTCTCTCGAGCTGGTTGATTGCTCTGTGACTTCTGTTCTCTTATGGTTTAGAAATAAGCCGTCAATTTGAATTGAATTTGACTGTGTTTCATTGTAAGGGTGGGATGAAGCCCCTGTGTTATATCACACAGTGAAAACTAGAACCCTGCTTCCCAAAGTTTAATTTGCATACATCATCTGGGAATCTTATTGAAACTGTGTTTCATTAGATTTGAAGTGGGGCCTGAGATTCTGTATTTCTAACAGATTCCCAGGGATTTCAGTGCTACAGGTCCAGGGACCATATTTTGAGTAGCAAGGTTACAGAAAGTATTTTTGTTTTTAAGATAGGAAAGAGTTGAAGACATGTAGATAATAGATTCAGGTATGCTTGAATTGTGAAAGGAAATAGGCAAATGTGATAATCATAAGATGTACGTTCTGTGAACTGGCTGAATTTTATGTGTGTGAAAAATATATTCTGGTTTAAAAAAATCCTAGATTTTTTTTTTTTTTCTACTCAAAGGGACTTCTTAATGACAATTTGAAAAAAGGTGAATTGTTAACTCTGATTTTGTAGCTATGCAACAATCACTTTTGAGAAATACATGCTGTGTAAGAGGTGTATTCTTTTGCTTATTTTCTTTTACTTCCCATTATTACCTGGAATACACTGTCCATTGGATAGTCTAATTTCTTTATTAAACTGTGACCTTTATCATACTTTTATCTTTTCTGCTTTTTTTTCATGTTGTTCTCCCATGTTTTTCCCACCTTATTTTTTTTGATTCTGTTTTACATTTTGAAACAGACTTAAATTTACAGAAGAGTTTCAAGTATGGCACAAGAAACTTTTTTTCTCCTCTCCTAAATCATTAGGTAATAACTTTCTGATATGATGCCCTATCATTCCTTTCACAGATTGAGTTCCTTGGCAAGCAGTTTCTGAGACAAAGATGAACATGCAAGTAGTTGATTGAATAGTGCTGTTGGAATCCTCACCTTGGGAAGGGAAGTGAAGGGAAAGAAGGAGGCTTGGGCAGAGGTAGAAGTAAAATTGTGATATAATTTTAATGGAAGCTTCAGCTGACACTGTAGGGAGTTTTGGACATGGGATGACACTTTTTTGTTGTCTTGAGTTGGAGCGGAGGTTTGGGCCTCTGCCACTGTGAAAACAAGCTATTAGATATGGAGTGCCACGGGCAGGGTACGTTTCCTTGAGTAAGGCAGCATTCTTCAGCTGAGTCAAATCCCCAAGATGACTGATTGTTGAAGGCTGTTTCTTATCAGGACTTCTGGCAGCTAAGGATCAGATTATGTACCACAGTGTCCACTGTGACGGGAGTACTGTGGTATGTATTTCCTATAAACGAGAACATTGTCCTGAATAGCCACAATATAACATGGGCTTTTTTTTTTTTTTTNGGGAGAGCTCATGTGTCCCAGCCTTGTGATGGTGGTGAGACCAGGGGAAAGGCCAGCTCAGAGGGTGCTCAGAGCATGTGTCCTCAGATATGTGCCCCCAGAGCTCTCCAGCCAGACTGAGGTCACAGATGTGGGAGAGTCCCTCAGGAGCCCGCTGACACATGTGTGCCCCTTCACATCCCATGCAGAGGTGCCTTCCTCCTCTCTCAGCCATAGCCCTGCATCCCTGACCTGCTGGGAGCATGGCCACAGCTCCCAGCTCCTCTTCGGGCCCTCTTGGCTAGGGCAGGGGAAAGAGAACCCTCAAGGCCTCTTTCTGGTCTGTGTGGGGGTTCCTATACCCACACACATGCCCAGAGCGGGGGGCATGGAGGAGATGGTCCCTGTCCCACTACAGGACACTGAGGACTTGGCTGCCTGCCACCGCCTCCAAAGCCCACCGCAGCGCTTTTTCCTGTTCTCTGGGCCTGATCCTGGGGTCACCCCCAAGTGCCGACTTGTTTTTCCCAGAGCCCCAGGTGCTGCCCTTCTCTCCCGTTCCTTGTCCATTTACCGCCGCAGCCCCTCCGGGTTCTCCCGGTGCAGGGGTGGAGCAGGCGCTGTGCTTCCACCGCTGTACCCTCAATCCATCCTTCAGGCTAACTACAACTTTTGTAGACAATGTTCTCCATCAGTGTCATGCCTGTGTCTTGTCCTTTAATGCTTTGGGGATGGAGTGAAGGGGGGGAAGGTGGAGGTGGGGGTGGGAGGGGGTCTTCTCTGTGCTTGTGAGGACTGGGTCCTGGGTCCTGTTCTCTGGAGTGTCCTCGAGCCCCCAGCTGTGCATCTTTGCAGGGAGCCCTAGGCCTGTACCCTGCTCTCCTAGCTCAGCTCAGAATTAGGAGCTGCTGGAGAGGCAGGGCTGAGAACTGGGGCAGGAGGGTCCCCCTGGGCAAGGAAGATGGCCGAGCCTCCAGCCTTGTTGCCAGGGCCTGCAGCTGTGGAGCACAAGAGAGTACATTCTCTCTTCCCACCAAGGCTTCCCTGGGCTTTTCCAGATATGGGCAGAAGCTGTACTCTGGGAGGCTGCCACCTGTCACCTGGGCTCTGGGCCTCCAGAGGGTCTCCATGTCCCTCACCACTGCAGGGAGTTCATGGGCAGCCTGATTTGAAGCCCTCCTTTCTCCCAGGGGTGATTCCCCTCCTTAAGCTGGTACCCAGTGGGCTGTTTTCTCAGTCGGGTCTGAGAAAGGGCCCTGGAGTCATCTTGCTCCATTACCTCCGGCTGCTGGGCCAATTTCTTCTGCCAAAGGGAGTTCAAGACAGTTCCCTTCCCCCAGGGGGGCAGGGGAGTCACGGCCACTGATATTTAGGTGATGTCTCTTAGGACTTCAGTGCCTCAGCTACCTGAACTGTGAATGTTTCTGAATTTCACATATTTTTTTTTGCATGCCTTAGGAAGAAGCACATAGGTAAAACCAGCAGTTTCCAGTAATGTAGGGGGTTTTTGAGAAAGGCCCCTGGAGCAGTGGAGAGACAGGTTGGTGCACATGCAGTCTGTGTGCTTGGTCACACAGAGGCCTGCATGCAAGTAACAAAGCAATTGTCAAGGGCTTGTCAGTAAAATATATTAGAAAAAACAATTTGAAGTCAAATGAACAAAACTCCAGATACCATTGAATAAGAAATCTTGCATCAAAAAGGGCTCCTGAAAAGGCCCATGTGCTCCAGTCGCAGCTCCAAAAGGCCCCACTGTGGAGCCCAAGTCTGGGAGCCCCGAGACTTCTGGCTGGCCAGAGGCTGGGGTCCGTCAAGGGCTTGCCTCTCCTTCAGAATCAATAACATAGATCTTAAAGTGCAATTGATTAATAAGCAATGAGTTAACTGTAGCTTCCTTTAGCTCTCCCGAGCTCTTTTTAAAAACTCAAACTTGATCAGCCTTAGAAAAGGGGTAGAGGAGGGGAGGGAACCACAGGCCATTTCTCTAAGGGGTCTGCTGTGAAGTTTTAAATGAAAGCTCTAGTTTTAGGAGCTTGAGCCATTTCCTGACTGCGCTGGCCTGGCAGTCTGGCTGCTGCACAAGAGTTTTTAAAGAAGGGTCAGAGCCTGCCCGTGAGAGCAGGTCTTCTTACCACGTGGGGCTGTACTACGTGGTGGTCTTGGTTTCTGTTTATAGAAATGCCCTCTCACCAACCTGCCCCACGGTCCCAGCTCCTCTCCTCTTAGAGAAAAAACTGATTACCTCAACTTGAATATGAAACTGTGATTGAAAAAAGTCAAAATGTTAAGAAGCATCAAAGCGAAAAGGCAAAACTGGCTGAGGCCTCTGTCGATGCTCCGCAGCCTACTCGGGAACGTGAAGGGGCAGCTGGCGAAAGGGCATTCCTGGGGCCCGTTACTCTGCCCCAGTGATAAGCACACCAGCGGTGCACCATGTAAGCTCTTTGAGGACTGAGGCCTGGAGATGCCTACTCTCTCCCGGCAAATGCTGGAACCTGCTGGGCCTCTTGGTTCTGTGAAGTTCAATATCCACTTGATTCATCCAGGCAGTGCTCCAGGTTGGGAAGAGCAGGGTCTTCCACTGTCTCCAGAGGAAGAGCCATGACACTGCTTTTGACCATACAAGTGGATCCAGAGACCCAGCAGACAGGGTGGGTTCCCAGGGACAGGCAGTCCTCCAGGGGCTTAACATGCTTCTTGCCAACTTTCCTGTTAGCAGCTTCAGTTTATATCACCCACAGTGCGTGGGATACTGTTGAAGTCGCTGAAGTTATGGGTTATTTTATGTTTTGACATGGGATTTTTCTGTTTTCGATTGGAAGAAGGAGACAGAAATTGGAGAAAATGGGATTATTATCCTAGGGAAGGGCCATTGGCAAGGAGTTGAGCTGGCCCCTCTGAGCCCTGGGGGCTCTCTGACCTGAGGCCTGGACACTGGGCCCCTCAGGTCACAAGAAAAAGTTCCCTCCTAAATTCTATTAGGATTTTGGAGAATTTTTGCACAGTAATAAGCTCTGGGTTGCTCTTTGGGCTTCTCAAAAGGGAAAAGTTCAATTCAAAGATTGTAAGCTATGAAGTATTCCAGCCGTGTTGCTGACCTAGTTGGATAGTTGTACCTCAAAAAGTAGGTGAGAGCTGGTTTCCTCATTGTCCCAGGGTGTCAAATACTAATGACATAAGAGCTCACTTACATGCCAAAATTCACTTTTATACTAGTTTTTCAGTGCTTTAATATTTGTAACTTAAATTTTAAAACTCGTATTTACAAACACTACTGTAACTTCAGTGAAACTGAATTGTGTGATTGAAGCTTTTTGCTTATCATAGTATTTATTACACTACTTAATTCAGTAAATATATAAAAGTAGCCTTCAATTTATTTTTATATTATTTTACATGTTTTTACCTGCAGTTGTGTATGTGAATTTACCTTGGTAATTGAGATGTCATGCATGCTAAGGACCAATAAACTATCACTGAACAAGCAAGGCCTCCAGACGATGCCTATGCCATAGACTCAGTCCCTGGTGCTCCTGGGGCTGGGGTGAGGGGGGCTGGCCCTCAGCCTCTGCTGGACGCCTCTGCTGGGGATGCTGGGGGCACACTCCCTCATTCCTAGACGCCAGAGCAGCCCGCGGAGAATAAAATTCATCTGAAGAAACCACACTGGATTGCGAGGTGGGAACTTGGGGAGTCACAGAACTTGGGGATGGGCTCAAGGAAGCCCGCTATGGGAACAGAGGTCTCCCCGGCCCTCGCGCCCTGCCTGGGTCCCTCAGCCTCGTCTTATACCGCGGTGCACGGGTGCGGGTTCTCAGCCCCTAGGAACCACGCCTTTCCGCCTAATAGCGCGTTTCTGCGCAGTGAAATCTCGGCGAGGTGGCTCCTCGGAACTACTTTATGCATGGGGACAACCGAGGGCGTACAGTAAGGGGCGGATACGCGGAGGTTTGCCGTAGCCCGCGGAGCTCTAAGAGGAGCGACCACAAATGCATCAGCTGTCCCGTGCTGCCTCGGGTTCCTCTCGCCCGGCGGTTCCCTTTGCACGTGGCGCGAGCCTCCGAGCAGACCACACCCCGGGCCCCCACCGGCCGGGCAGGGAGGTGGGGCAAAGGGGCGCCCACCGCCGGTCCACAGACACCCTGCTTCCTGTCGGCCAGACGCTGGGTGAGAGAAGGGGAAATGCTCCACTGGGCAGATGTGGAACTCCCCCAGGGCGAAGGGTGTAGCCTCCGCAGAGAGCTTCAGGTGACTGGAATGGTGGTCCTAGGTTTGGAAGTTCCTTGAGGTAAATTAGTCCTGTGCAAACCAAATGCAGATCTGCACAGGAAGGGCCTGGTAGACGGCGGAGGGGGCTGGCAGCAACATTACCCCTTCATAACTTCTTTGCCCAGAGCCTCCGGCCTCCCCATTCTGCAGGCTGGGGTTTGAACTTACGGAGTGCCTGTGCTTGCATTTTGGCGAAATCTCGAAACCTCTAAGGTTTAGGGATGAACCCGCAGAAATTCCCAGAGCAGTGGGGAGACAGTAAATGGCGAAGGGCTCTTGTGGGGGCAGGAAGAGGCCAGGAAACCTGAGGACGGGAAAGGGATTCCATCTTTCACCTGGAGCCCTCAGTAGGGACAGGGAACTACTGAAACCCTGGTGCTGCTTACCAGAGGGAGCCCCAGAGTCAGGGCACCTGGCGAAGTCGATTGTGAAACGTGATTTAGAGCAGCGGATCTCATGTGGAACTGCTGAAAATCACAGGGCCCACCAGGGAACATCGATAAACCCCAGTGTTAATCTCTATCCTACGCTCTAGGAAAAAGTTATGCCCAAAGAAGACATGACCATGTGACCCACTTCCAGCCCATGACAGGGAGATCAGCTTGGTTTCTGTAGGAGTTCAGTCCAGGAGTATCAGCTACAAGTCAGCCCGGCCCAGGTACTTAGATGCCATCAGACCCTCTCCCCATCCTTGGTGGCGTCATTCTCCTCCTGCAGCAAGCTTCCTCTACACCACCAGCAGCCCCAGGGTCCCAAAGGCAAGGGTCACAGTCTCATCCCTGAACAGTTACAGTGGTCAGGAAGAAGGGAGTTTTCTGATTGGCCTGGCCTTGGGTCTCTGTGTGCTTCCATGGGCCCCCTAATACCAGGCCCATCTAAGAGGTGGGCCCCTAAAGAAGGGCTTGCTCCCCTAAACCAGTATTACACATCTCCCTGCAGTTTCTAAGTTTTTTTGCTAAGTCAGGCACCTACTTGATTCTTTTTTTTTTTTTTTTTTGAGACAGTCTCACTCTGTTACCCAGGTGAGTGCAGGCTGGAGGTTGGCTCACTGCAACCTCTACCTCCTGGGTTCAAGCACTTCTGCTGCCTCAGCCTCCCAAGTAGCTGGGATTATAGGTGTGTGCCACCATGCCCAGCAGTTTTTTTGTTTGTTTGTTTTTGTTTTTTTGTGTTCTTTTTTTTAGTAGAGGTGGGGTTTCACCATGTTGGCCAGGCTGAACTCCTGATCCCAAGTGATCCACCAGCCTCAGCGTCCCAAAGTGTTGGGATTACAGGCATGAGCCACCACACCCAGCTTTTTTTTTT